ATTAAATGAATTCAGTAAAACAAAATGGAGAAATGTGAACACTACAAATACCGCAAGGAAAAGCGAGAAGCCGAGAAACAGCGCATTGAAAATGAAGAGAAGCTTAAAACGGACTTTGCCGAGTTCAAGAAGACTCTGACTTCAGAACAACAGACTTTACTTGACGAGTACATCAAATACGAAACTGAAAAAGACAAGTCTTCTTCTTCAGACATTGAAGAAGATAATGATAAAGACTACGATAAGTGTCAAAGAAGACATGAGAAGTGTCCAATGGATAAAGAGAGAAGACAAATGAAGAGAATGTGGAAATGGTATATGATGAACCAAATGTATAACAGACCACCTCCACCACCTATGTGTTGCCCACTACATCAATTTGGATATGACCAAATGGGATGCGGATTTGGTAGAAGACCATTCTATCAACCATTTTATGGGTATTGCCCACCTCCACCTCCTATGATGGGACAAAATCCTTTCGGATGCAATCAAATGTGCTTCCCACCACCACCTTTTGGTCGATTTGGAGGTTGGGAAAGAAGAAGACGACATCACCCACAATTCTAAAGTTGATCAACTAATTCACTCTTAATAACAATTTTATTTTTGAATAATATAATGTGTTATTTGTATATAATATAAAATAATAATATAATAATGTTTTATTTGATAAAAATAAAGAATTGTTTGTTATAATTATATTAATACTTAAAGTCTGTCTAACAACTATATCGGATAATAATTTAATGGCTGTATTTGTGTACATAAAACGAGAATTTAAAAAAATACAAAAAATGCTAAAAACTGAAATTATAGAATGAATTTTTAAACTTCTTCCCGAAATTACACACCAGGTTCGGTCCAAAAGGTATTAGTTTACGTATATGAGTAAACAACTTTGTTCAAAATTTAATTTTTGTTTTTAATAATAATAAGAATAAAAATAAAATATTTATATATTATTAAAGTAAATTTATTTGTTTTTATAATATTGTATAGCAATATATATTTATATATATTGCTATATATATAGTCAAAGGCGTCTATTTGTTGTAAATCCGGCAGAAAAAAATTATCTATTTGTCGTAAATGAGTGACTTTTGTAGAAAATTCTATTTAATAATGAAATTTATTTTTTATAAAAAATAATTTTTTTAATTCAACAAAAGTTACAGATTCGAGAACAGAATATTTAATTTTCTTACACCAAAATTATTGGCATTTGTATGACAAATAAGCAAGTTCGACAATTATAATTACGACAAATAGACGCCTTTGACTGTATTATTATTTAATAATAAATCATCAATAAGTATATTTGAAATGAATATAAGAAGCACTAATGGTCTAAGGGCAGAATTTCACCCTCCTAAGGTGGAGATCCGGGTTCGAGTCCCGGTTAGTGCACTTTTTGTTATTAATAAAATAAATAACTTCTAGATAAACCAATATATATTCGATCAGCGCGAGTTTCATTCTGTTTTGAAAGAAATAGAAAAACAATTGAAGTTATAAAAAAAACTAACTTGAATAATTACAGATACTTTAATATTAATTGTTATGTGTTTTTGATATTTATTTAACAACATTTAAAAAATTACATCATAAAAAATCATGACTAATATCAACAAATTAAAATGATTTAATTGTATTCGTTCAACTCGGCCATTTTCTTTCTGTATTCTGTAATAGAAAAAGGTACAGATTCTGCTCTAATATTTCTTTGTTCGTCTATGTGTTAATAATTTAAACAATGATTAGTAGAATATGAAAATAACAATAAAACATTTCGTAGTTGAAATATAAAAAACTGTATGTGTGATTACAAATTTTTAGTCTAATTATTTTTATAAATTAGTTTATATCGCAAACTATTTTGACATTGAATTTAAAGGATTATTACTTTTCACGTTACTGTTAGTAAAATAAACAAACATTTAGAAGGTCTTTCTGTTGCAATAGAAGATGAAAATGCTTTTTTACCTTTACCAATTAGTTTTTTATCTTTCATTGCACACGATCCAACTGTCTTAATATTTTGACTCATTCCAAGTTTTCTTTTGTGATTAGAATTTACCAGTGACGCGTGTTTGTCTTTAAATAATAAAACTCCACTGACTATTTCTTTGTAATCGATTTTGAATTCCTCTTCTTTCTTCACTACAAATGCGAAGTCCATAAAGTCCTCTGCAAACTCCTCAAGGCGTTTCATGTAGTTACTCATTGTTTTTCTAAATGCATTTGCAAGAATTGGTTTATAAGACTGTTCCAAAGGTGATGATGTGTATACTCGCACATTAAAACCGTCATCGCCTACTATCATTGCAGCACTTTTATTACGTCTTGAGTAGTTTGGTGCTGAAAAGATGGTAAACGTTAAGGGAATGTCCTTCTGGACATCCCCAAAGAAATCCATTTCAATGCCATCGACGACACATTGATGGCCCCGAATGACCGCAGAAATGTCATTTGTGGCATTAAAGCGAGTAATTGCTTTGTACCCAAATACACTTGAAACCTTTCGGGAGTTGTTTGGTACGAAATTGAGGTCCTCCCAATTGTCGGTGTAATTGTAGTCGCTTAAAAACTCGTCGTTGGCTGGGTCGGACCACAAAAGGTCACAAAAGAGTCCACTCGCTGGTGGCTCTTGAAATCGATTGATCGAATTAATTTCATAAAGTACATTTAAGTCGGGAGAGATCCCTCCGTGGCACAACAAGAAGTGAACATTCTTGTTTGTCATGTATACACTCAGTTTTATTGCTAAGGGAAAACAATTGAACAAGTCAAGAAATTGTGAATAAATTTGTTCGTTATATTTCCAAATGCACTCGTTTTTAAAACCAAAGCGAGAGGTCATGTCTGCTGTTTCATGATTGCCACGAAGTAGGAAGACACTTTGTGGGTTGTTGTATTTCATACATAATATTGTGATTAACACTTCACAAGAATACTCCCCACGATCTACATAATCCCCCAAAAAGACAGTGTTGTGATGCTTTTTCTTCCACTCCCTCTGTGTTATTATCAATCATAATATTAATATTTTAATTATAAAAGTCAAGTATAATTATAATAAAAAGGGGTGTTATTTTTTTTAAATATATTCAATAAAAATAAAATAGACAAGTAATTTGATGTGTTTACAATATAAGTCAAAATGATGTATTTAACTATAAGTTCAATAAAATGTATATAATTTATTTACAGTAAAAAATGTCTATTTGTCGTAAATCCGCAATTTATGAAAAAACTTTGTATCAATAATGAAATTTATTTTTATTAAAACAATTGGGTTTGAATTCAAAAAAGTTATAAATTTCAAATAATACATTTATTTGTCGTACATTTAAATGGTATGCTATTTTTGGAACAATTAAGCAAGTTCTATATTTAAAATTACAACAAATAAGCGTCTTTTACTATACATATTTCAATATAGTTTAATAATATTATATTGTTTTAATAATTTAATAAAACAAACTCATCATTCAACTCAGAGAGAAAATCAAAATATTGACCATGGAAGTCTCCAAAGATCAAAGAATCTTTTGAAATCTCAATCAAATTTGGTTCTTTAACTAAAATTTGTTTTACACTTTTTATAAGAATAGATAAAGAATCGTTTGAAACTAAACCACCGTTCATAAATTGTTCTTGAAGATCTGATAAATTGTATTTACCATCCACCACGTCGAGATTCATCTTACATATTGTTGTTGACATTCAATCAATTTAAGTTGTTATAAGTTCTTATATTTTCAAAAAATATTTCGAAAACAAAAAAACAAATTGGGATTTTTTCGTTCATTCAACAAGTTTTTTAAATTAATTCGACTTTTCAGAAAAATTTCAAGTTTTTTATAAACAAAAATGAAAATAGGTTATTAACTTTTTTGTATGAAACATATTTAAACATTTTTTATAATTAATTCAGATAATAAATGTTTGTTTGATGTATTTATATTTCAATTTAACTATACATAATAATATTTATAAAATATTAACATATTAAATTATTACTCTTTATAATCACAATTTTAAAATCAAAAATCATTATTCAAATGTTGGCTAATTTTAAATGTTTTTTATTATTTATCTTTATGGTTGTGATATTATTTTAATATATGTTAAACTTATTTGAATTTTATATTAACACTTAAAATAACACCCTTATTTATGTTTTGGCCTGTTTTTACAGGGATATTAATCCAATTTTTGATGATTTTTCTTTTTGGCTTATGTATTCTTTATGCACATAATATAAACTCTAAAAAACGGAAATTTATTTAATAAACTCGAGATTTCACGATTTTTAGACCACTTGAATTTTGTTCAATGTTATTTAAAGTGTTAATTAAAATTTAATTTAATTAAAAAAAATGAATAACTTTTTTATATTTATTATAAAAATAAAATATTTTTTAATAATATAACGCTTGTAAATTAGCTTACATTTATTGAGTTATTCTATCAAAACAACTACTATACAGTTACGTTTGACTTTTTGTTTATTATTTTGTTTATAAAAAGCTTATATCTATTAATTATTAATTGGTATATTTATATAACTCGAATCCAATACAAACTAAAAATTTCTTGTGTTGTTATTTAAACCAAACATGCATTAAAATAAATTATCTGGTTGTGTTGTAAGTATTTTTTATTAATTGTATTAAAATATTTGTTTATGTTCATTTGTGTTTTAATTAATAATCTGAACAGAAAAATAACAATTAAAATAACGATTATGTTTTTTTAATTGACCTGTTTTTACTAGAATATATATTCAATTTCAGATGTTTTTCCAATTTTGGCTTGTGTAATGGTATGAACATAATATAAATTTAAAAAACATAATTGTTATTTAATAAACTCAAAATTTTTCAATTTTCTAACTGTTTGGATATTTTCAATATAATTTAAAATGTTAAAAAAGCATTTTTATATTTAAAACAACATATTTTTATATATAATATATTTGTACATCAAAATAATTAAAGTGAATTATATATTTTTTGTAGTGTTTTAATTACTGTTGAAATATCAATTCTATCATTTCCTTTTTGTCCCCACATTTTAGTCAACACTTCATATAACTCGATATTTATCTTTTCCGGTCTTTCTTTTCTTTTTCCACTTGTTACATAATCTGCAATAGACCACGCAAATTTGAACTCACTTTTTGGGTATATTTCTCCCCACACCAGTGTTTCATAAAAAGTTATAGCCAACGAAAATACATCAGACGATTTTTTATAGTGTTCCTTATTTAAGACTTCGGGTGCCATATATTTTGGTGTTCCAATACCTTTAGTGAATGTCATGTTAGTCATCAATAAATTGATATTTCGACTACTTCCAAAATCAGTCAATTTTCCATTTGCTTTGACATTATTTTCCATAGTAATAACAAGAATGTTGTCTGGTTTAATGTCTCTGTGTAATATCCCATTTTCGTGTAAATAAGAAATGCCTTGGGCTCCATCACATATTATTTTTACTTTCATTTTGAGAGATATTTCCTTTTCTTTTGATATCATATCTTCTAAGCTGCTGTGTTCGGCATATTCCGTGACCATACAGATATGACTTGGTATATAACAAGCACCATAGAAATGTATCACAAAATCATTTCTAAATTTGTCTAACATTGCAACTTCCTTTGTAAACTCATCGACCGCACTTTTTGTGGCTTGTGCATTTTTCATCTTTTTAATAGCCACAGTATTTCCTCTGTAAGTCCCTTTATTTACAATTCCAAAGGATCCTTCACCAATTTTCTTGGATTCTATTAACTCGTGGTAATCTAATTTGGTCGATTGTTTTGTCGTTGAAATAATTCGAATTTTTTCATTGATTTGTATACCCAATTCAAGGTCAAGTGCTATTAACATGACATCCTCTTCTATTTTACAACTACATAACGGCTTAATAAATATTTCAAATTCACACGCTTCTCCCCTTTTCAAAGTTATTAATGAAGGAACTGTTCTTATTTCGTAATGATCACATCCATCAATTACACTAAACTGAACTTTTAAATTGTGTTTTGATGTGTTTCCAACACATATCAAATCTCGCGTTTCTTGGTCCACGTTTATTGGTGAATCTTCTTCTAAGTCAAATTTAATTGGGTTTTTGTTGCTACACAATTGTTTGTTTAATGCAATCATTGTGATATTAGAACGCTTCATTTGGAAAACACAGATGTTCTCAAGTTTCTTCTTTTCCTTTTGCTTCATAATTAACAGATAAATGATTACAATTATTAATGAAATAACAATTATAAGTGCAACCAAAATAAATAGTGGAACACCAATAACAACTCCATAATTCGTTATTTGAATACAACTCTCTCCGTCATCTGAAGGTTTGTAATGCCTGTTACAAAATTCACATTTGGAATTTTTTGCAGATTTACAATGAAGTATTTCAGAATAATGAACACAAGAGGAGGATATTAAAATGTAATCAACAGCACATGATATGCAAGTTGTGCTATCACTACAAGATGTACAATTTATATAACATTTAATACATCTCCCAAGAGATAAATAATATCCATTCTCACATACATAACATCCATCTTCCTTCATTGATATACAATTAACATTTGAATCATACGGAAGACACAAACTGGTTATTTCTGTTGGTATTTTAAAGTAGTTTATTTGACATGACTGACACTTGTCACGCGAAACACATTTTAAACACGAATCGTCACATTCATTGCAATCTCCGTTTGATTTGAAATATCCATCTTTACATATAGCACAGCCATTTCCATTTGGAAGTGTTACTAAACATTTTTTGAAAAGATCTCCAAGTGATTGACATACATAATTTGTGTCAAGAAAATGTCCCATTTCACACGTCAAACAACGACTTGTACTTGAACACGTTTTACAATTTGTATTGCATTTTAGACATTCAGTCGAATCAATATAAAACCCTTCAAAACAACGTTGACAACCTTTGTTGTTTCTTTCTTCACATCCATTGGTATCTTCTGTTTTTAATGTCATAATATCGGTTGAAATGTTGTTTTCATTTTTTGGTGTTTCTTGAGCATCGAAATTTTCAGAACACACACCGCCTTTAAGTTTGTAAGCATCAAAACACTCTACACATTTCTCTTTAGTCAAACTAAAATGTTTGCACAGTTGATTGTTGTTTTTCATGCAAAATTCATATTTTCCTTCATTGTTTATAACATCATTTGGGTGATATCCATCTGAACACAAAACACACCCAAATTGAGAAGACTTTTCACAGTTTAATTGACTTTTGTGGACACACATATTATGTTTGGGTTTTAAAAAGTCACTTGAACATTTTTTGCATATACCTCCTTCACATATTTCACATTCAAATAAAGAACAAATTGAACACTTTCCTTTTGATATTTCAGAAGATTTATTATGACACTTAACACAACTTTCATTTGAAGTTATTTCACAAGTTGAATCTTCAAGACAAGTTTTCTCATCAACATCAATAACACAGTTTTTATTACATTTAAGAGAATTGACTTTGTTGTTATGGTTGATACATATTGAAGTATTTAATTCACATGATTTACACATGTTGTTGTTGTCCAAATAGTAGCTTTCTTCACATTGATAAATCACTTCATTTCTCATTACTTTATTACCAATGTTTGTTTGTAAACATTTAAAATCTGTTGTTAGTGTATATTTATCTACACATTGTATACAATTAGCCACTCCCTTGAAAGATTTTTGATACTTACAGTTGGTAATCATAGGAGTGCAAATAGAATTTATTGATATTTGGTCGTAACAATCACACGAAGTCTTTGATGACGTCGAAGGAGAATGACATTCACTTAATTCAACACATTTAGCATTTGATACAAAATAAGTTAATTCACATTGCAAACACTTTGTTGAATTAATTGGAAGTGAACAGGTATCAAGTGTTAAACATGTTTTAGTTGAAATGTCATAATATTCATATGATTGACACAATACACACATTCCATTTACAATAACATAAGGTGTAATACATTCATTACATGTAATAGTTCCTGTTGAAGTTGTCGAACACAAGTTACAATTGGGTATTTTAACATAACAATTTTCACATGTATTTTCATCTTTTTTATATTGGTAAACAGGACAACTGGCACACGTTTTATTGAATTGATAATATGGATCGTAACACAATAAACATTTCATCTCACTTTGACTGCATTTTTTACAATTCGGAATTGCTGTGCAACTCACACAAACACCGTTCTCATTGGGTTGGTACCCTTCATTACATAACACACATTTCCTTTCAAATAAAGTTGAACACATCGAACAATTGATATCAAATGTATTACATGGACTGCATATTTTTTTATTGTTTGCATTAAACACATAATTTAGTTTACATGATTTGCAATATCCATTTGTTGTGTTGCATTGTGCATTACAAGATTCATCACATTTTCTACAAATTCCATTTATTTCATCTGGGTACATTCCATTATTACATACAAGACAATTTCTTTCATTTTCAACACATTTATTACAATTATTATCAAAAATTTGACAACTCTCACAAAATAAAGAATTGGGGTGATTTGTTGTCGGGACATATTGAGATAAACATCCAATGCAATATCCATTCGTACTATTACATTGTCCACCACATGTTTCATTACAGAGCTGACATTTAATTTCCCCATTGCGTTGTGGCACCGGGTAATATTTTGAATCACATTCAACACATTTTCTGGTTGAATCAGGTGAACACTTTTTGCAGTTTGGATCAAACAACCGACAAGTTATACAAACAGACGAATCACGTTGTGTTATGACATATTCAGGAATACACGAAGTGCAGTATCCAGTCATACCATCACATCGATTCAAACATGTTGAATCACATGAAACACATTTCCCTTCTGTTTCATTGACTGGACGATACCCATTTTTACACTCATTACACTTTCTTTTAAAATTTGGTGAACAAATTTTGCAATTCATATCAAAATTCGAGCAATTTTGGCACTTTAAATTATTCTCATCATATAAAACATAATTGAAAGAGCAACTTGTGCAATAACCAAAGGTAGTATCACACTTTCCTCCACAGGAATCATCACATTGATAACACTTCATTTCACTTAAAGTCAAAACTGGGTGATAATTGCTTTCACAAGTAACACAATTTCGTGATGAATCACTTGCGCAAATTGCACATTTTGGATCAAAATCAGTACATTTTTCACATGTATTTGTTTCATCCTTTTTTAATACTTGATTTTCACCACAAGCAGTGCAATGCCCATTGGAACCATCGCATTTTTCACATTTATCTGAACATTCCACACAATTGCCATTTGATGCAAATGTGTGATTATTACAAGTTACACACTTTTGAAGTCCAGTAGAATCACAAATAGAACAATTGATATTAAAAGTGTTACATGGAATACATTTTAGCCCACTCATTACATAATTATTTATACATCCCGTGCAAAAACCAGTTTGTGTGTTGCACTTTTTATTACATGAAGAATCACATTGAACACATTTACCTTCTGAATTTGGATAATAATTTTCAATGCACTCAATACACTTTCTTGAAAAATCAGTTGCACATTTATTGCAATTGGTATCAAAAAGTGAACATTTTTGACACGTTTTTGATTCCGAATTAATAAATACAAAATTGTTTTCACAACTTAAACAAGTTCCATTTGTAGTGTCACAAACACCTCCACATGAAGAATCACAAATTTGACACATACCATTTGCACCTGGATAGTAATTGGTTATACATTTATTACACGCCCTTGTATAGTTTGAAGAACAGCTACCGGGTTCAGTAGTACATTTTGAATCAAAAGTGGTACAACTCTCACACGAAGTCGTTTGTGGTAATTTAAATACAAAATCATTTTGACATGTTAAGCATTTTCCATTTTGAGGATCACAACTCCCTCCACACGTCGGATCACATGGTTTACACATTCCGTTTTGAGGGTAATTATCTGTTGTTGTACACTTAATACACATTCTTTCAAATGAAGATGAACAATTCGAACAATTTATATCAAATGTATTACAACTCTCACATGTAATACCTGTTTTGTCATTAAAGACGTAATTTAGTTCACAAACGATACATTGTCCGTTTTTTGTATCACATTGTAAACATCCGCTGCCACATGGAATGCATATTCCCATTGTATTTGGGTAATAAAAATTGTTACATTGAATGCATTTGGGTGAGTAGTCTGTGGAGCAAACCAAACAATTTTTATCAAATGTTATACAAGGAATGCATGTACTTAAATTTGCTGTGTTGTGGACATAATTTGAAAGACAATTAATACAGTTTCCGTTGGTTGTATCACAAACTAAATTACAGCTTTTGTCACAGTCAATACACACTCCGTTTAAATTTGGATACATATTACTTTTACATGTTTTACACTTCCTTTCGTCTTTGATACATTGAGAACAATTTACATTTAAATTACTACAACTTTCACAATGAAAAGAAATTGGATTAGTTGGAATATATTCATCGGCACATTGTCTGCAAAATCCAGTTGTTGTACTACAGAGTCCACCACACGTACCATCACATTTGACACATATGACATCTCCATTATTTTGTTTTGTTGGGTAATAATTTGTGTTACATTCTATGCATTTCCTCATAAAATCAGGTGAACACGTTTTACAATTAATATCAAAATTTTTACATAAGATACAACTTTGTTTTTTAGGGTTATCAAACACATAATTTTGTTGACATTTGTTACAAATTCCACTCTTTCTATCGCAATTATTAACCACGCACGTTGAATCACAATCAATACAAACTCCACCAAATATATTTGGTCTTTTCCCAGAAGTTGTTGTACATATAGAACAATTTCTTGTGTAATCAGAAAAACATGTGTCACAATATTTGTCAAAATCGGCACAACTTTCACACATTTCTGAATGAGGTGAAGTAAAGACATAAGTTGATTGACATTGTGTACAATTGCCACTCAATGGAGAACATTTTAAACAAGTCGATTCGCATTGAATACACTTCCCTTGTGTCTCATCATTTTTGTTTGAAGGATAGAAACCACTTATACATTCAAAACATTTTCGTTCATTTGGATAACAGGCCAAACATTTCGAGTCAAAATCTGTACATTTTTCACATGATGTTTTTGGTTCTAAATAAGGAACATATGAATTGTTACATGTTAAACAAATACCAATAGTACCATCACATCCCTTCAAACAAGTCGAATCACATTGAATACAAAAACCTCCATTTGGATTTGGTTTGTATGTATCTTTGCATGAAACACAACTTCGAACGCCATTTTCAGCACAGGTAATACATTTTGGATCAAAAGTTGTACAACTTTCACATGAAGTGTCTTGTTGTGTTTTCAAAACATACCCAGAAACACAAGAGGTGCATATACCAGTTAAATTGTTACATTTGTCTTTACATGTTTCATTGCACAGTTCACATGTAAATGGATACACTTTGAGTGGATAATAACCTTGGTTGCACTTCAAACACATACGATTGTCTTGAGAACATTCATCACAATGATCGTCAAAATCATGACACTGTTGACAATTTCTACTTTTTTCATTTGGTAATTTTGTGTAGCCCATGGCACATTTATAACAGTAACCATACACTTTATCACAATAATCTATATTGCATGAATATGAACAAGCTACACATTTAGAATCATTTCGATAATAACCAGTTTTACATTCAGAACAAAATCTCGAAAATCCAGCATCACATTTAAAACAATTAGAATCAAAAGAATTACAACTTTCACACCCAATTTCAGGAAAAACCATAAAAACTTCATTTGAGTTACATTCTGTACAATTTGAAGTTGTCGTTGAACAAGTTTTACACGAAATAGGACACGACACACATTCACTTTCCATAAGGTAATAACTGGGTTTACATTCTAAACAACCTCCTCCACTTTTACATGCATTACAATTGACATCGCATTGGTCGCATTGTTTCGTTTCTAAATTTAACAGATACCCATCATTACAAATAGTACACTTTGTTGTTGAAGAACACGAATTACAATTACTTGGGCAGGCTATACATGATCCTTTAGTTAAATAATAACCAATAGTACATTTAGTACATGTATCACCATTTGAACATTTATCACAATTATAGGGACATTGTTTACACATGTTGTTATTGTTTTTATAATACCCTTCAACGCAATTACCATCACATTTGATATCATTATTTTCTTGATGACATCTGTCACACAAAGGGCACTCACTACAAATACCATACGAACTCTTGTAATAACCATCAGCACATATTTTGCATGTACCCAATTTTGAACACAAATAACATCCGATTTGACAAGGTACACACTGTCCGTTATTTTTATATTTTCCTTCCAAACATTCATTGCATACATTTGCGTATAAGTAATATCCATTTTCACATGTTGTACACAATCCAGGTTTATGTTTTCTACCTTCTCCATTGGCACAATGTTGGACTCTACAATATCCATGTTTACTAGCGCTATTCTCGTTGTCTGTGCCAC